AGGAGTATTGGGCAGCAATGACTGAATGCAATTATTGCTTCTCTGCAAGTTTTTCTTTTTGTTTTATGTTTTTTGGTTTTGTATGGTCGCAGTGTGTCGGGTGGTCTGGTATTGTATCCTCGCCTCTTGGTTTTTGTTACAGCTTATACCAGTAAAAATCATTCTATTTCGCAAAATCAAGAGTGTGATTGATCAACAGCGCACAATAATAAAATTGGTTATTATGTTTCAATGAATTATCTTTTATGAGATATAGGCTTCAGTAAGAATATTTATATCTCCCGCTGGACGAGTCTTAATATGATCCATGTTTATTTCTCCAATATCTAAACAAGCTGTTAGAAAATGAAATTAATTTATATTTCGGGTGCCAATAAAGTATTAACGAAAAAAAATAGTTACCTCTTACATTCAGTATCACAAAGGTGTCTGCTCTCTGCAGTTGTTCCGCTATCAAAGCTTTGACTTAAGGCGATCAACGTGTCAAACAGACTGTCTGAACCGAGCGTAGAACTCAACTGAAAAACGAGGGTGGGGATGCATGGAGACGAGGATTGCTTGAGGAGCAATAGGAGGAGGGAGAGGATAAAAGGAAGGAAAGTGAGAATGTACAGAAGTGTGTGTAAGTGAAAAGAGGAAATGGGGGGGGGGGGATTGGGAAGAATGGAGATAAAACAGCAATCAAAGTCTTTATTATCGCGTCTCGCCCCCTTTTTATGATAGACATCAGGCTTCAAGTGACGTCATTATATGTGGTTACAAACACTTCTGCTTTAGGGTTGTTTTTCCTGGTTTTATCCCTGGATATTTTAGACAATAATGTGCTTCCAAGGAAAACCATTTTTCAACATAACAATGCTGCACATGCTTCGTCTGAGCTACAAAAGGAATTAAATAAAAGGGGAAAGAACAGTGAGGGAAAGTAGGTGACGAAGGTGAGACAAAATAAGGATGGGGACAGTGGAGAGACTGAAGGCCTGAACAGCTTCAGCTTCCACTGAAAAGGCCAGTGATGACGCAATTGAACCTCCAAATGTATCTCTCTCTCTGCACTGCTCAGAGACAGATAGAAGACAGCAGGAGGGAAATAATATGAAGGGCAGAGCAATCTTACCTGCTGTGATCAGGACTGGAGGTGGACCTGCGTAGGCCGTCCTGCTCTCCATCTGTAAAGAGACAACCCGCACACACACACGGCGACATACAGTGACTCACTGCAGAGGATGTTCCCTAATCAGGACTAATCAGCAGCATGGTGTTCTTTGTCAGAGCGCTGAGGGCAGGCTGAGATCGACTGAGATAGGACGACATGAGGGAAAACCCATCAGCCATTACCTTCTCTGTGATAAATACCAGCAATTAGCCTGGTCTCACTCAGCTCCAGCGACCGCTGCTGTCATTGCAGAGTAACTGCTTTAATCAGATGCTCATCGTTAATCCTGCTGCCTCTGGATTTAAGAGAGAGAGGCTCCTCGCAGCTGTGGAACAGCAGGTTGTAGCCTCCCGCTTCAGCCTAATCTACTGACAGCTAACGAACCCGCCGGTGATAAAACACGCTTTGGAGCATGAGCAGAGGGCTCAGGTGTGACTAATGGAGGCTAGCTGTTCATGCAAGGTCAGCCAATGGAGAGATTTGCGGTGCAGAGGGAAACACAGGGGTTAGACAGGCTGGAGGTAGAGGGAGGCAGGAAGGAATAATCACTCGAATGCTACAAATAGAATGGCTTCATCCTTTTGAAATTACAACCACAAATGAATGAAAGCATAGAAACTTAAACCCCCATTACAGGCAATTACCCATACCTACCTTCCATAGCCCTTTTATTTATTTACATGTATTACAAAAGGTATACTTTCTGGTCATTTGCTTTGGCAACGCTGCACTGCAGAGTCATGCCAATAAAGTCGATTGAACTGAATTGAGAATGAGGGATTAAAGTCAGACTCACCCCTGTGGGAGGCACCCTCGCCCTCTTCTGAGCGACCTCCTGCAGTACTCGAGTTTCCTGCAGAGACCCAACAGAAGACTTTCAGAAGTCTGTACTATAAGATGCAGCACATATACTACAACATATTTCTCTTCTTCTTCTTCTTTTATATACAGGAACACATTTGAATGAACTTACTGGAGAGATGCCGCTTGATTGACATCTGAAAGTCAAGAGAGAGGGACAGACTGGATCAATACAGTGGACTTGTGTAAAGGAAAAGGATGATGTTTTTGGTAAAAATACTGAAAACAACAAGAATCTGAATCTTCCTACTGAAAGTAGTCTATAGTTAGTCAAACTGAAGTAAAAAGTGCTTGTTTGAGACTATTTTCAGCTGCAAATTAACAGCCATTTGGTGCTCTACTGAGGATTTACAGAAGCAGGAAGGTGTATTTTTAAATGGACTCAAAATATTCTACAGCACCAATTTTCTCTGTAATGAAGGAACATGTCACCCTGTAGAGCATTGATGTGTTTTTAATAGTTTTTGGGCAAGAAGAAGATGAATAAGACATACCAAGCTTTGGCTCATCTGTTTCGGTTATTCCATGGGAATTGTTATCTAATCGTAAGTACGTGGTATTCTGAAAATGCTGAGGGTTTTCTTTTCTCTTTGCTCATTATCGACAGGTTAAGATTTGAGCATGGAGATCATTCGGTACTTGAGGTAAATATTCTAACATTGAGGTCCACTTATTTCTCTATCCAGAGCTTCTTCAGGGAATAGCTTCTGTATGCTTTCAGAACTTTAACCAGAGTCTAAGTGATCTCTGCATTTTGGAAAAAAACGCTCATGTCTGGAATCCTGAGAAAACACACAGAACATGAAAGAAAATCAAACCTGTTGCCGTACTCCTCTGTTGGGCGGCAGAGTGAGCGCCCCGACGGTGGCTTTCAGCTCTTTCTCGGTGGCAGCGGAGTTGCTGCGGTTGCTGCTGGTGACCGGTCTGATCTGGATGTGGAACTTCTTCGGCTCCTCGTCGTCAAAGTCCGAGTCACTGGAGTAAAAGTTGTTCTCCTTCTCGTCAGAGCAGCGTACAGGCAAAGAGGACAGTCAAGGAGAACAAGCTCATGAAGAAAAGTGATGCTGTCACAGAGAGCCCTTCTCAGCTTATGTTAAGTTTAAATGTGCAGAACTCTTCAAGCAATACTTAAATACTTATTGGAGTTGCATACTTGCTCATTCCTCCGAATACAGCCAGCAAATATTAACAGCTAACATTTTAGTGCTTTTCATTCATGGCACTCAACTCTATTTTTTTGTGGTAACTATAAACTTAAAAATGACATTAATATGTATGATTTCTTAAATAACCAAAAAATGTCTGTTGTCATTTTATCTTGTATGAATGTAGGACTTTAGTGTAAGCTAAGACTTGACTTTATTATCTATATTTACAGTCATACAGCAAAATTCAATGAATAAAATCAAGTTTCCAAAAGTTGTTCTCAATCTAAATCATTTCAAATACGGACTTCTGCATAAATTACATTATTTTCTTGTTGCTGTTTGTATAATCTTTTTAGATTAGATCAGAGTTACTGAATGACTGAATGATTTTATTTCAAAATGCTACAAAAGATAAATATTAAGCAAACGCATATTGTTATATGTTTTGAGGCTCTGATAAACATACTTATGTACGTATAATATTGTACTTAATTTGTTACAGATGTTTTCATTTTATGTACGATGTGAGATTTTGGGCAAGGAGTTTGTAAAATGGAAATTAAAAAATTGAGCCAAAGCAATCGTAAAAAATACTGTCAATTCATTTAAAGTAATACCTCAAATGCTACACTACAAAAAATAAAATCATTACGAGACCAAACACATTACAATTACATTACAAGCCAGTGGCTGTGAATGTTATTACCCCGGCTCATCTTTTAATATCACTATGTGGACAAATGCTGTGACTTCCTTGAAGAGCAAACGGAGTCATTTTGATTCACTGCAAGATTAAATCAGGATATCAGAGAATAAAACGCAGCTCAACACAAACACAAAACACATATAATTGCAGAAGCACCGCAGAGCGTGCCGGAGGTGAGAGCTGCAGAGCTTCAAACCGCCAAACTGCCACTTCCTGCCGCACCATCAACCCCCCCCCACAATGAAAGTACCCTCCCCTTCCTCTTTCTCTGGACTGCGCTCTGCTGCACGTGGACGGGTTGCGTCACGTCATGTGAGATTTGTTTGTGTCTTGTGTTTATAAGATTCAGAGAAACTGCAGGACGCATGCAACGTGCTGAAACGGGAACCATCTATTCTGAGCAGGCGGGGGGCTCGATAGGGGGAAGACAAAGTCATTCAGAGTTGTTATCTCAGCGCTGTCAGGACTGAGAGCTACCACTGATGAATGGATCAGGGCTGAAGAGTCGGGACAGTGCAGTATTAAGTTAGGAGCACGATATTGTATTTAACGAGAGGGATGCATTTAGTCAACTAATAGAATAAAGATCTTTATAATTGTTTGGCTCTATAGTTAATGAGGCCATAAAGCATTTGAATGAACAAATTGGTTCGAACTCACCTCTCACCTTCGACCTTGTGATTACGCTTCATTTAAAAACGTCTCCATCTCAGTTAGGGGCATCTTTAGAGTCTATTCAGCAGCTGCATGAGGTTTAATTTGGTGCAAGATGCGTCTGTCATGTGAGGGAACCAAGTTTGTGATATCTTGCAGGAATCTTTATAAATCAGAAATATGTGGGTTTTCCAACAGAAGTGATGTATCTGACGAAAGGCTCCAGTTGTTGTTTTTACAGTTGTACTGATGTAGTGGATGAGTCAGTTTATCAGTCAACCAACAGATTTAATTTCTCAAAATCATTAACCATGAATAAAAAAATAAAAACTTCCAAGCGGGTGAATAATTATTCTAGGCTACTATACATAAAAAATAATTAAATTAAATCAATAGTCAGCAGATTACCATCATCAAAACACAAAACTAAAACTGAGCTCAGAGACTTGGGGCATCTATACTCTTATTTTTTATTTCTCACCCTTTTTAAATTGTATTTGGTCCAGAAAAACACCTGTTGACAGTGACTTAATTAACCTAAAACAAATCAAAAAATTATTATAAACAATTAAAGAAAGAAAAGTTAAAAGTTAATAATACGGTGAGAGTTATCCTGGCTGAACATGTGTGAGCAGAAAAAAGGATATCATTCTGTGTGCTGTCAGCTCGGATGACAAATCCCTCATCGTCGACTTCCAGGGGTGAATTCTATATGAATGGACGGACACACACACACACACACACACACACACCACACACACACACACACACACACACACACACACACACACACACACCACACACACAACACACACACACACACACACACAACACACACACACACCAGCTGGGTCAGTAACAAATGGCACTGTATCACAGACACAGGAGTGCTTTGTCACACTGTGTAACTGCAGCAGTAATGTTCGACTGAGAGCTTTCTGTTAGAGTGCGTGAGCGAATAAACAGACCATACTACTATTAAAAAGGTGTGAGTCAGTAACTGCTCCAACT